ACGTAGCAAGGAGATCGGTAAAATAATCCATGTGACATCAGGGGTTCAACCGTAATTTTGCGAAGCTACAAGAATACTTTTTGTGTGTGACACAAAAAGTATTCACAGAACAGCATACGCTGTTTACGTCCAGCGGATACTCTCCAAAATGGCGCTAGGGTGATGCGGAGGAGACAAATTGTTGAATAAAGTCCGTTTTTTTTTTCTTTTGCGCACAAAAATATTCTCGTAGCTTCGTAAAATTACGGTATTTTATATTTTATAAGACCTAATCCTGGTTTAGTCTAAGCCCTGTCTGTGAAACCAGGCCTTAAACTTACAAACTAAATCAACCTGTAATCTACACTTTTTTTTTTTCTTCTCTGCTTCGTCTTCCTCTTAAAACCGTATGATAGGATGTGCGTCATGCAGAAATCAGTCGTTTATGAAAGTCCGTTGCTCACTGGCTCTGAATACACACAGACAAAACATGGGTCACAGAAGGGGTGGGATGTAGGCTACTGGCTTGGGATGGGTGTCATCACGCGTTGACCAATGAGAGCATATGGGGTGGACCCAAGACTGCAGCAGCGCTCACATGATCAGTCGTCAATCCTCTTGCCACATCTATTCTGCATTCTTTTTCTGTCTGTTCACACAACCATCTTTTGTAGTTCTGCTGCCATTCCATGAGCATTCATGCCTTTTGTCAACAGTGACCGAATTCAGAGCTAGACTGTGTATACACAAACCCAGAGGCAAAGTAGTGAACCGGAAGTGTATCTTTGCTTTAGGAATCATTCACTAGTAGTGTTTGTCATTGCAAGCATCACCATTGCTCGTACCTAGGGTTAGGGATTTGAACAGTCTGATGGTGGACCCAAGACTGCAGCAGCGCTCACATGAAGCACTCACAACTTCATAAGTGGGAAATAGTAAGTTTCCGATAGCACATGAAGACAGCAGAGAAGCGCTCTAGCTCAGCACAGTGGAGTGCATCGTTTTGTTAACTTTGTGGTTTATTATTTTGAGTCGTTTGGGACGCGGTAACACACGGTCCTCTCACAATATATTGCTTTACAGATCTATCGCTTTTGCCCCTCAGAAATGTTCACGCAATCATGCAGCACGTATCAGAAGTTCAGCGCTCCGACACTACATGCGCACTACGCCCAAGTTCAACTGAACCGCGCTCTGGCCCACCTCTTCCAACCAAACCGCGGTACTCACTACTTAAAGACTCACTAGTCAAACGAACCGGGATTTGGGGGTCAAACGTGCTCGGGCACGGTTAAGATTGCCTAGTGTGAGTACACCCTTATTCTCCTGCATCCCGCACACACGAGTCTCTACCCGCCCGCACCCGCACTCTCCCATCAGGTGTTGTCCCGCGCCGCACTCTGCTACGTTAGGTCCCGCGATAGTGCAGGTCACTACTCGGAAGGAGCCTGTTATAATGTTATGATCGAGGCTCTGGACTCTGAGCATAACTTTTTTTTTTCTATAACAAACTAAAGTATTTTCAATAAAAACGATAATGCCCTGGCAGTTGCAAATAGCTATGGTTTTACATTTAATTTGATTACTTTAATGTTATAAGTTGAGATTTACAATAAATATTTTAACTGCTACTATGTAAAAGGAATACTGCTTTAAAAAAAGCAACTTATTTGTTTAAAGTGTTTGCAAACCAAATGTTATTGCGCCTTTGTTCATATAGCAGTACTTTTAAATGGAAAAAAAGTGCACAATACACTACTTTTGAATTCATTATTGAATTTTGTGCATATCAATGCAATTAATTGCGATTAATTGCAGACAATTGTGTGATTAATCGTGATTAAAAATGGTAATCGTTGCCCAGCACTAATATATATATATATATATATACACACACACACACACACGTGTGTATAATAATGTGGGTGTATATATATATATATATATATATATATATATACTGAATGAAGACATTGGTAGATGTAAACATTTGTTACAATGGTAGACACTGTAAACAGACTGTCATCACAACTATGAATATGGGACTACCGATATAAACTTCTTGTATTTTGTATGTACAGTAGGCAGAATAATTGCAACAAAAAGAAAAAAAGTAGAGATAAGGTTAGAAGTAGAAAGCATGAAGCTTGCCATGTCAGAATGCCAGTCTGAAGCAAGACACAGCCCATAGCAACGTGTTATGACAACGTCTATAGTCTGATGCCATATAAAAATAAACAGTAAATAAATGACTTCCAAGGAATTTGTAGCAAAATAGCGTATCAAATATTGTAAATGTACTAGAACAGACCTCATTAGTTCTTCAGCATCACGCCCATTTGAGCAGCTTCTTTTCCTTTTAATGGCATTTGACAAACCCACTTGAAGAACATGCAATGTTTTTGTTTTGATCTGTGTGACTCCGCCCACTGCCAATGCACCCAATAGTATTCTGACACCACAGGTTGCCAGTTGGCGTAAAAACAGCTTTTTGCAGCCATGGAAGCCAACAAAACGAACTGGGTCAGAGATCCCAGATTCTACCCAACCTAAAAAGCCACGGCATCCAACTAAAAAGCTCTGTGACCAGAGGCGTATTAAAACATGGATAAATCAACTTATAGTGTAAAGCTATACATGCGGTGGTTCCTGTTGCGAGTCCTCAATCTGGCAACCCATGTGAGTGTCTACTCTGAGGAGGAGGGGGCGGGAGAAACGACTCTCTCCAATATTTTGAATTTGGACTGCAGGCATCTATGATGTATAATTGTTTATTTGGTTTCATATTTCATTTGTCAGTATGTCTGTCTCTTCCTGTCCCTTTTAAAGAGAGCGGGAGCGGAACTGATTGCAGATGCACAGATGAAATTTTTCCTCTTTCAACAACCTATTCTTACAATTTTGATGTCATTTTCAGCACCAAAGTAACAGAATTAGTCAATTACACACAGGTCAAGTATGGAAAAAATATATATGGTTTTTCAAGATGTCTTTATTTCCTAGGTGGGTGTTCACGGAATTAGGATAGAATTTTTTAATGAAAAAGGATCAAAGCGCACCGCCACCTACCTGCCAGAGGTTGCGAAGGAACAAGGTGAGTATAAAATACACTTGCCTGATTTCTGTTTGTGATGTCTTGAATTACATTGTAACAGCAGAAATAAGATGCAGACCATAAAGTAATAATCAGTATGAAAGAACGTGATTGAATTTGTTTTGTCTTGATAGGATGGGACCACATTCAGACCATAGATTCCTTACTTCGAAAGGGAGGTTACAAAGCTCCTATCACAAATGACTTCAGGAAGACTATTAAACTGACCAGGTGAGAGAATTTCCTTTTCTGAACAATTTTTTTTTTATTTATTAGTAGATTAATCTTTTAGTAATGGTGTCCAATGGCACAAGGCACAAACATCAGAGTTAATAGTTAGTTAATAGTGAGAATTGGTCCCCAAACTAAAGTTTGACCCTAAATAAATCAATACAAATTCTTAGTTTCTTTGACTTATTCTATAAAACACAAAATGGAAAATGTAGCACGATATGAATAGATATTTTCCCTTCAACAGAACTTTATAGTGGTCGATGCTGTTGTGCTCCAAAAATGACAACGCGCCAGTAGTTCTTCTAACTCATACGCTATATTACAAGTCTTCTGAGATGATATGTTTGAATTTGTACAGTTTTAGTTATTCACCGATCTGTTGTGCACATTATTTCAAGCGTCTTTCACTGTTCTGGTGCTTACCCCTTTTTTCACCATTGTTTTAGGTACCGTAGTGAAAAGATGACCATGAGCTACGCAGAATACATCGCCCACCGCCAGCATCATCACTACCAGAATGGCATCGGGCACCCTCTCCCTCCGTACAACCATTATTCCTGACAGCGAGCCGCATGACCAGTCACTGGACCTCTCGGCGGACATCTTCCCGGGAGAGCCCGCCCCCTCGTGGTCTAGCTATCTGTACTACTGTACCATTTTATGATGATAGTTTCCGTTGCCATGTCGACAGTCAGTTGGAGGCATGGCAGCGGGTGGCAAATAAGCATTAGGTTGATTATAAAGCGAAAAAATACAATTCATTTCTTTGTATTAATTTTGTTTTTGCAGCATATATATATATATATATAATATATATCAACCCCTTCCCTTTTTTAAGCAAATAAACAAATACTAAGTTTTTTTGTTTTTCAACAAATTTCCTAAAATCAGGTTTCTCAGTCTGTGGATGGAAATAAGTCATATTAAATGTTGGAGTAGTTATGCTTTTGCTCAGATTTTATGTACGCTCGCTCAGCTTTAGTGACTTGCCCAATTTTTTCCCCCCGTTTTATTGTTTCTTATTAGTTTGTCTTTTATCATATAGGCAGCCACAGGGTTTAAGGGATTCTCGTTCCTCTCTGTGTAGTTCCTCGTGAGTGGTGATTTTGTTTTCCTTTCTTGTTTTATCTTGAGCATTGTTGGGATAGGCAGTGAAGAACTAGTCAAGTGTTGTTTTTTTCCCCCCTCAAAACTCTCTTTTGGGTACACCAGAATATTTTCCCCATAATGTAAAAGCCTGTTGCTCTTAGCATTACTGGAGTTGATTTGAACTGAACTAACTTAGATAAATAGTCAGCCCTTTTTTGTCTGGTGTTGCTAGGAAAAATGTAAAAGCATATTAATCCACATGTCTGTTATTTTGTTTCTCGTGGTGATGTGTTGTATTAGTGTTTCTTAGTGTTGTTTGTGAGATTGAAAGTATAGGTCTGTACTCAGAGTAAGGGTGTAAATGGATAGTCAGAGAGATATCAGATTCAAGTCAGTCTGAGTTTTGTATCGCTCCTATTTTGTCACACAGAGAGGAAAACATTTGTGAGAGACCAAGGTCAAATGACAGGGACAAGATAAAAAAAAAAAAGCCATACTTGTTTTTTTTTTTTTTTTTAATGCATGCTGTAGCAGAGTGGTTGCTCTAAATGGCTGTTTTTAATTCCTTTCTCTCCTGGTCTGTTTACCTGGCACGGGAATCTTCACTCTCAGGAGGATGCTTCAGAAAGCTCTCGGTTTAGTTTTTAATGATCAGGTATTATGGATGAATATGTCCGTTTCTGTCTCGCATGGCAACAATGTTCACACCTCCATACGAACGCGCAGACTTTACAGTTGCTGTAATTGAGAAGATAACTTACGGATCTTCAAGTCAAACAGGCACAGCTGTTGTGGCGGCTTCTGAACCCCTCAACATCTCGCGGTGAAGCTTGTTTGATTAATGTTGTCATGTCACACCAGGGAGTTTTTTTAAACTACGGTTGTAAGTGTTTTCATAGTTTTCTCACTGACGATTTATTCTCTATTAGACCCATTTTCAACTCTTGCTCTGAAAGGCGGCAGTGTTATTTTGATACAGCTTTTTTTTTTCTTCCAAAGACCAAGGAGGTAGACTGAATATCACATGTTTTTATTGTCTGTAGAAGCAGTGGACTCTCTTTTCGACCACTTCTGAAAGGAAAATAATGGGAGAGGTTCTTGTGGAAATCGGGAACGATTTCTGTGTTTTGTTTTCATATGCAAAATGTTAAGGGCTTTTGGGGTTCCATCCACAGTCTTTAGCCAGCTCACTAAAACCTAAAGAAAAAAAAAAACCTGATTTCAGTTGTTTTGCCTTAAAAATGGTTATGATGTGGACCAGCAAATGTTGCCCTGAGTGCTCAACTACCTTGAGATTATTTCACAACATGAACAGCAACTTTTGCATGGAGTTTTTGGGCAAAGATGCCTGTTTAAAGCCCCGTTCACACCAAGAACGATAACTATATAGCGTCCACACCAGCGAACGATATCGTCTGTTTATTCTAAGCGCACATGCACCTGCCGCTTTAAATTCTTGAGCTCGTTACAGCAGGAGGGATTCTGATTGGCTGTCAGTGTTTTATCGTTCATCAGCTGGAAAAAAATCGTTTTGAAAGTGATCACAACGATATCGTTCCTCTGTATCGTTATAGTAATAGTTTTGGTGTGAACTATGCTATCCTTTAATATTGAGAACGATTTTTAGAACTATATCTTTATCGTTATCTTTATAGTTATCGTGCTTGGTGTGAACGGGCCTTAAGAGTCAAGTGTTTATTACTGCCCAGCCGTTTAGATGAATCTAAACCCTACCTACCAGGATGTAGGTCAGTTATGAAGTGTGACACATTTGTGGTCCTTAACAACCCTTTAAATATCAGATTTTTTTTTAACCCGGTTATTGTGTTTCTAGTTGGACGATCAGGGCCTCGTTTGTTGGTCCATTAAAACAGCACAAACTAAACTTTTTTTTTTGCTGCAAAATCAACCAAGTCTTTGCATTTGAAATCTGATGTATTGACCTTTGCAATACATTTGTTGCATGAATAGGAGGCCACCTGTTAAACATGGCATGCTTGTTTCACTGCTATATAGATACGAGAAAAAAAAAAGACTATTTAACAACCCTTTAAATATCAGATTTTTTTTTAACCCGGTTATTGTGTTTCTAGTTGGACGATCAGGGCCTCGTTTGTTGGTCCATTAAAACAGCACAAACTGAACTTTTTTTTTTTGCTGCAAAATCAACTAAGTCTTTGCATTTGAAATCTGATGTATTGACCTTTGCAATACATTTGTTGCATGAATAGGAGGCCACCTGTTAAACATGGCATGCTTGTTTCACTGCTATATAGATACGAGAGAAAAAAAAGACTATATAAAATGGTGCTATCGGACCTCATGTCGGGGGTGGTCGCAGCAAATGTGACTGGTCATGCGGACTCATTGATCATATCAGACTTTATTATTATCCTCAATATATGCAGATCTGTTTTACAGGTGTTTTTTTTTTTCCTACCAGTGTAACACAATCTCCTGCAGGTTTGAAAGGACAAGTAGTGACGAGTCTAACCCCATCTTTCCCTCATGGCCTGGGGGATTCGGGCATATACTTAACATCTCATCTGTTATAGATGTGCACATTTACGCAACATACAATTACCCTGGAGTCTCTCGCTTTGTAAGCGCTGTGGATGTTCGCGTTCATGTACATCGCCGTTTTGAAAGACGGCTGGCTTAACTAGCTGAACGCTGTCGCCTCCATATGGCCAAAACTACAGCGATAATGAGGTTCAATGTGCCGAGTTTACTTTGCTAACAACATTTGTTCAAATATCATCGGTTCGTTCGGTTGCAAGCCACACTATGCGATGAAAGACACGTTGGTTCTTTCGTTTTTGGTTCTGTCAGATATGTCGATACATTTTAAGTTAAGAAAAATCAGTTGTGAAATGACTGCAAATGGAACAAAGTATTTTCATGATTCCTAGAGTAGTTTGAACATGCACTTTGAGGACATTAGCAATCCCAGGCACATTTAAACACTGTAGAAACTCTCAGTACCTGTCCTACAGTTACATTGCTCAAAGATTGGGTCAAAAAGCATTGTCTCGCTACGCTGTCTTTGGGGTTTCTGTCATTTTTAACAACACAACTGGGATTAGTGTTTGGTGTGTATAGCAAATGCTCATTTTAGGCATACGTGTTGGGTTGTAACACCTGCAGACGAGCTTCACGCTCGCTGTTGAACCCATAGTCCTTTGAAAGTCGTTTGGCTCATGTTACCTTTGTGTGTTCAACCGAACCAAAGATGCCTCCAGCCATGTCCAAATGCTGCTCTACAGACCTGCCTTCCTGTCCTTCCAAAAACCTTCCCTGCAAGAGAAATGTCTTATGTTTCTGTGTATCTTTTTTTTTTTTGTACAATTTCTAATGTTGTTTTAGGATTTTAGCTACCTAAGTTCAATGAATTTTCATTGTAGCTGTCTTTGAGACCTTGCACGGTGTCAATGACCGTAATACTAGGTTGCACGTTTTTTGTTTTCATCATTGTTGTTGTTATATATTTTTGTAAAGAAAGAAAACCCCATAGCGTGCCTCTTAGATTTATGGGTTTCTTAATGTTTTTTTGTTTTTTTCTCCTAAGACCAGCAGTTATACTTTATACGAAAGATGAGTTAATCCTTATTTTTAAATGCCATTTAAAGAAAAAAATAAAAAATAAAAAGCCTCTTTTCTTTACTCTGGACCCAGTAGCTGCACTGGCATACAATCGCACTGATAAATATGGGGGGGGGAGGAGTATAATTAATAATAATGATGATGATGATTAAAAAGAATAATGTAAGAACTACAATAAATTTGTTTGAAAACTTTTGTAAAAAAAAAAAAAAAAAGTGTAAAAAAAAAAGTACACACAATGACTGTTTTTGTATATCGAGTTAATTCTTAAAAAACAAAATAATATTTTGGACCTAGTTTCTAAATTATTTTAGTGGTTTTCTATGTTCTGGAACTTTGAGAAGATGAGTTTTGAACATGCCCTTCAATGACTGACAGCTTGCAGTGTTGTCATTGCAGGCAACGGGGTTGCCTGGTGTAGCCCCATATGCCCACCACTTTTTGTTTCTATTTTGATTTTGGATTCTTTCTTCCTTTAAGAACTTGAAATAGTTAAAGTAACGACTTGGTAAAAAAACAAAAAAAATTATATATATATATATAGAAAAACAACTCCCCTGTAGAACTAGATCATTTAACCCCACTGAATTGCTGTTAGTGTGATGAGACTTGAAATGGGCATTTATTATGAATATGGTAGTATGGCTCAAAAAAAAAAGACAAAAATTACAAACCAAAAAAAAAGTGTTGGGGGTGGGGGGATAGATGGGTTATATGTGGGTATGTGAGCTATGGCTGTGGCAATGATAATGTAGTTTTAAAACATTATTGTTATTACCTTTTAAATCATTTATCCAATAAAAATTAATTCTGAAAGAAGGCATTAGGTGTCTTTATGCTTCACAGACAATTTTTTTTTTGTGACACCTTGTGAAACCAAGACAGTCTTCATCAATGACATGTTGGAGAAGACCTTTAATATCGATAAAAACATGTACAAAAATGACACCAAGACAGACAGGTTTCCCTTTCAGTCAAGTTTTTTTTGTGACACCTTGTGAAACCAAGACAGTCTTCATCAATGACATGTTGGAGAAGACCTTTAATATCGATAAAAACATATGTACAAAAATGACACCAAGACAGACAGGTTTCCCTTTCAGTCAAGTTACATACATTGAAATGAGAGTGATCCCATAATTCACTAGACCGCTCAAATTGGCATTTCTTGCATGACTGCAACAGCCACAAACTGTTCAGCAAATCTTAGTTTCTGGGCTTGGCATGCAAACAGCTGGGAAAACACTTGATCAGAGCAGTTTTGGGACTAGACAAAAGAGCCCCTAATGTGGTTGGTGATGGAACGTATTTTTCCTTCATTTGACTACATATTGGACTTTTTTGTGTATACATGTGAACATACAAAAAATACTATCATTTCCCATGGATAATATGATCAGTAGAGTGTGTGAACTTGATCAAACAGCAAATGGAATCACTTTAAGCCAACAGAAATGTTTAGTGGACGTGACCACAGCTAATAGCTTCAGCTTAAAATGTAGTCACTATTTACATACCAGTTTGAAAGAGACTGCTTGGGGGCTGGAAATAGACTCTGGAAAATCTCCTAGACACAGTACCACTACATTTATGCTTTCCACAACAGGTCTACAATATTAACAGAATGTCATTTTGAGAAAATCTATTAAAAATTCTGAGTTCAATGAATCTTCATTTTGCTAAACTTTAAAACTAAAAAGAACAAGACAAGGTTTATGTTGCTTGAGTCCTGCTCCTATGGTGTTAAAACAGTCTTTCGATCTAATGATCCAGCTTTGAGAAACCAGGTTTGGACCAAACAACAAAAAGAAGAAAAAAAAGTATATATATAATGTATTACACTTTTTTTCTAGGAAGCTGGACAAGTTCCAGTTCAGGTTTTGTCCATGTAAGTCTGCTGATAAAAACACTAGTCCAACTTCTTGTTGCGTAGATGTGCTATATCCAATAAATACCGGCATGTGGGAGCGGTGTGCTGCGAGAGGATGGTCAGAGCCTTGCCGTGCAGTAATGTCAGGGCAGTCTGGTGGCCCGTTGCCCACACTCGGTACCATGGTCCATAGAAGGGGTCAGAGACAGCAGGACACAGCATGTTATTCAAATTCACTTCTGTCAACTGGTGGGAAGCAAAAACACAAGACTGAGTTAGCATAGGGCCACAATAACTAAAGCAAAACATGCATATGTTAAACATAGAATGGTAACACTCTAGGGACCAATTCTCATTATTAACTAGTTGCTTATTAGCATATTTCAAGCAATTTGGCTGTTTATTTTTAATAACATATTAATAAACATATTAATGCCTTATTCTGCATGACCATATTTAACTATAACTATACCTAAACTTAACCATCTCACTAACTATCAATAAGCAGCAAATTAAGAGTTTGTAGAGGCAGAAGTCATAGTTGATAGTGAGAATTGGTCCCCAAACTAAAGTGTGACCCATAGAACTACATGAACACAGATGATTCCAGCAGAATTTGCTTAATTGCATGCTTCATTTTACGAAATATGTTAATATGCTATAAGTCATTTATCACACTTCTACGTCTGAAAAACGTCAAATAGTAGCGAGAAATAACTTCAGCTCTGGCCTGCACCAATGGCAGATGACAGATAATTCAAATGGTGTCATGTTATTCTAATGCATATTTTATTTCAAGGGGAGTGCACAAGACTAGTGTACGCGGACGTGCAATACTTCGGATTCTGACCACCAGTTTTATTCAAGATATGCAAGAATAGAATGCAAACATGCCACATCAAAGAATTAAATTTAGACATCAAATAAAACATTAAGAGTAAAGACTCTACAAACTGCATGCATGCACTTTAGTGTCTGATACAATCAGGAACCAATTGATGTTTTTAAATAAAGTAATATTTTTCCAGTCCATAGATGATCATTTCAAAATTATTGGTTTGATCATCTTAAAAGAGTCATATCCTCCTAGGGTGCATGCAATGATTAGATAGCACTACACTGACAAGCTACAACATAAATTCCACCTGCCTAATAAAACAAGGTCCCTCTCGTGCTGTCAAAACAGCTCTGATGCATCAAGACAAACTCCACAAGACATCTGAAAGCGTCCTGTGGTCTCTGGCACCAATACATTAGCAGCAGATCCTTTAAGTCCTGCAAGTTGCAAGGTGGGGCCTCCATGGATCTGTTGGTCCAGCGCATCCCATAGATGCTCAAGGCAACGCCATGAACTCAAACCATTCCTGAACTTTTTTTGCATTGAGGCAGGTGCATTATACTGCTGAAAGAGGCCAATGCCATCAGGGAACACTATTTCCATGAAGGGGTGTACGTGGTCAGCAACAATTCTTAGGTAGGTGGTGCCCAAGGCTTCTATGCAGAACATTCCCCAGAGTATATCCCTGCCTCAGTCAGCCAGCCTTCATAGTGCACCCTGCTGCCATCTCTTTCCTAGGTAAATGACGTGCACACACCCGACCATCCACACGATTTAAGAAAATGTGATTCATCAGACCAGGCTTCTTCCATTGCTTCATGGTCCAGTTGCTCACTTGCCCATTATAGGTGTTTTCGGCGATGGACAGGGGCCATCATGGGCACCCTGACGGTCTGTGGATATGCAGCCTCGTACTCCGTAAACTCTGATGCACTGTGTGTTCTGACATCTTTCTATCATGGCCAGCATGACGTTTTTCAGCAATCTGAGCTACAGTAGCTCTTCTGTGTGATCTGAACAGACACCCCAGAAGACTTGCCGTTTTGGAGATGCTCTGACCCAGTCAATCACTATTTGGCCCTTGTTAAAGTCAATCAGTGTTATTCACTTTACTTTTCAGTGGTTTTAATGTTGTGGTTGATCAGTGTATATTGCAGCCCAAAACTGGAGATTAAACGGAACAAACATGCCCTAAACATGTCATGTAACGTAATAAAACACCATGTAACATGTCATGTAATAACATGGAAAAAATAACAAGAAATACAATTTAAAAAGAACACACTGTAGGGTATCACATAAGGCTACGTAAACATATTTCAATATTTGAAATATAGACACGGAGTACGTTTACATGGACAACAATAATCCGATATTAACACGATTAAGACAATATTCTGATTAAGAATCTACCATGTAAACAGATTTTTTATTACCTTAATCCGGCTAAAGTCATACTCCGAGTAAATACAAATCGAATTAAGACATGTGGTCTGAAGATGAACGAAAGACTTGCGGGTTTGGAACGACATGAGGGTGAGTAATTGATGACAGATTTGGGTGAACCAACCTTTTAACTTCTTTTACCCGGAGTGTTCAAAGACATTGAGTATGTTTCCATGGACAACAATAATCCGATTTTAACACAAGACAATACTCTGATTGAGACTACCATGTAAACAGAGATTTTTGATTAACTTAATCCGTCTAAAGTCATACTCAAAATAAACCCAAATCAAATTAAGACATTGGAGTATTCCTGTTTTAGTCGCATTATTGAAGTGCAGTATAGACATGTACACACCTTAATCAAATTATTACCGTCGTGTAGGACTTTTTGCCAGCATTTTGCGACAGGATACACACATGGCAGTGCTCAACCGTTTAACGGCAAACAAAAGAGCATGGCTTCAAGCAAGAAGGCACATTTTTATCCGTCGTTGTCTGTTTGCAGTATAGCATGACATATAATTAACTGCACTTGAAGCTTTCGTAAAATTAAAAATAAATCACCCTAAACTGTATTTGGTACCGAAGACGAACTTTATGTTGATACGTGAAATTCTGAGGGAACGTGCCATTAATCGATCTATGCACTGTAACATGTAAAACGGGAACATGAAAGGAATATTCTAAAAGCAACTCATGTAAACACCTTAATCATAATATTGTCTTATTCAGAATAAGGTCTGCCATGCCTGATATATGAAATAGTAGACAAAAAAGGTAAATTAGATACAATTTTAGTAACAAGAACACGGTTCATGTAATAAATGTACAAACATTTAACAATACTATAATAAAAAAGGTCTCTCTAGATATCTCTATAGCCATATTGTAATTTCCTAGTATTCCCATACATTGTATTGAATTATTAGGAAATTAGGATTATTAGAATTTTAATGAGAAAACCTCACCTAACGAGTCAGTATTCTTTTTTTTATCCGAAGTCTCCTACATTCTTACTACACAGACGTCCTAAGCATGTAAAAATTTTTAAATAGTTATGTTATTCATTACAGTAGCGAAAATCAGATGGACAAGACACCTTAAAATATGTATTACAAATGTCAAAGTGCTCATTCTGAAAAGATTTACGCTTAGCTTTTTGAAGCTGTTAATATCTAATGATTAAACAATGGTTAAATTAATATTTCAACAGCATATACATATAACTATGGAAGCCTGCCACTGAATAAAAAATAAAACAAGGTAACTGCGACTTTTTATCGCACAATTCTGACTTTTTGTTTGCAATTACAAGTTTATGTCTCATAATTCGAGATATAAACTCAAAATTGGACTTTTATCTTGCAATTCTTTTTTTTTTCTCGCAATTCAGATTTTTTCTTGCAATTCTGACTAATTGTGAGATATGAACATATGGTCCAATTCTGAGGAAAATAAGACAATTTTCTTACAATTGCGAGTTTATATCTCACAATTCTGAGAAAAACGTCAAAATTTCAAGTTTATATTTCGCAATTCTGAGGAAAAAAAAGTAAACTGCGAGATGTAAACTCGGTATTTCAAGACAAAATGTTGCAATTACCTTTTTTTTTTTTTTTAATGGGCTTCCATATGACATTTAACTCCTATGAACTGTGACTGTAATTCTAGAAAAACGGAACTCTAGAACTTGTGCCGCATAATGCACTACTTACTTTACCACTTGCTGAAACCCAACACAATGCAATGAGGTCATGTGACAAAGCAGTGAAATGTAGAATAATGGGTACTCTCACTTAAATACAGTGGGGAGCATGCAGTGTATACTATGCAGTATTCAATAAGTAGTAAGCAAGCATTCCATTTCTAACAGTCATAAGCTACCAACTCTTACTATTTCTTCCATATTTCTATGGCAGAAATACAAAGAGTAGTATGCTAGTATGCTGTTCTGAATTATTTAGCAATAGTGTTTGATTGTCATAGTCTGGCATTATAGTTTGGGAAAAGTACTTGAGAATAGTGAAATGCGTACATGTTTATGTCACAATAACACTAATATAAGTAAGAATAAATGACTCATCAGAATGATCTCCTCCGCTGCTCAAGCCGCGCGTCGCATCGTGTTCTTCTTCTGAAGTAAACACAAGGTTGATTCCTCACAGCGCGTCTTCTTCCATAAACTAAACGTAGACTAGATGAACTTGAGGAATCTTGCGGCTTTGTTTACGGAGGTGATGTGGGGGTTTGGTTGTGGCTAGAAGGGATACAGCTACGGCCGGAACCCCCAACCCTAAATCCTACCCCGTGCAATAATGCAAATACAGTAATTATTGTTGTTCAATGTGACAAAAAATTACGCAATATTGATTTGCGCATGCCCATTACAGATAATGCGCTCAGACGGGAAAGCCTGGACCTGGCGTTGGTTTCATACGGATTACTTTATCAGAGAATATTTGTTTTCAACGTGACTTCAAGCTTTCTATAGATATGTTTCTCATGTCTGTGTGTGAAGTATTCACTGAGTTTTCGTTCATTTTTGTGGCGCGTTTCTTTATTTTACACAAGCACAGTGTTTTGTTGATATTGCGAGCGCACACAAATAAAAGTAGACCTTTTACAGTTTCAAATGATGTATTACTCCGTAATCTGTACGATCGAAAATTGATGTTGTCATGAAAAAAGGCAAGTGATCGTTCAAGTTGCTGTTAAATATTAAATAACTGAAAGAACTATGAGTTTCACTTTGTAGTGTATTTTTTAGGTTCGATAGCTTGAAAAATAAAATAAAGTCGAGAGTAAAGTAATTAGTAATCTGATTACTTTTTAAATGCAGTAATTAGTAATGTAATCAAATTGCAATTTTAAAGTAGTACTTAGTCATTTGTACAACAGTAACTTACCCAACACTGCTCATTTCTCTCTTGAGCGTCACTGCTCTACTGGCATATACTTTACTCTGGGCACGTGAAGTGTCATTCTGACGTCAACATAACTGCCATTTCACAACTGGCATAGCTGGATGAGCTCTATAAATAATGCAGCACTGATTTCAACAGTACTATAGCTCACTTTTCAACAGGGAAGCTAAAATACCATCCATGCTCCAGCACTACGACTGTTTGACCAAACTTCAGAAACTCACCTCCTTTTCTGAAGAGGTAGACTGGCACAAGATACAGCATGGAGTGCTGAATATAATAGATCTCCTTCTCAAATGGAAGCTGTGATGGGAGAAAAAAAGTATGTTTTGAAGACAACACATACATCTTCTAGCCTTATTTGGCGTTAGCATGATTTGAACAGAGCGCTTAACTTACTAGGGGTTGGAATTAGGGCTGCACGATAAATCGAAATGGAATCGAGATCGCAATTCGACAGAAGCTGCGATTGTCATGCGTATCTTTCAGTGAAGCACGGTTCTGTGATCAGCAGTAAATCTTCATCCGAAGGCCAGAGGGCATTCTCGAGCTGAAACTCCAAATACGCCTCGCAGAAGAAACCCAGGAAATGCCTATCGCTGCAGCTGAATAAACAGAGGATTCAACTGCTTTCATTGAACGGCTCTGTGTAGTAAATGCTGCTCCATCTGAAAGCACGTGATGATGATTTACTGCCGATTACAGAACCGGCTTTACTAACAAAATGTGCATGACAATCGCATTTGATTAATCGTGCAGCCCTAGTTGGAATATACTCACCAGTCGAGTGTTGACTACTGGGAAGAGAAGCGCTAGAAGGGCTCCATTCAGCATATGGACCTGAAGCCTTCAAAACAGAAAACACAGAAAGCTCACAGCAACAGTACATCTAAAACACTACAGGATCTAAATATCAACTGAACAAGGGAAAGCAGTGACATTCTATTAATCTGACAAAGAAATGGCATCAAACTGAAAGATATCAGAAATATCATTCAAAACCTGAAGCTATTGTAAGTCAAAAGCAACTAGAAAAAAAACAAAAAACTATTAATCATATCATAATCACTGTCCATGCTGCCTGTGTAATTTTGATGCATTGATAAAGAACTCCAGCTCTCAACTCTTCATTAGACAACACATTATTTAAGGCTGTTCTGTTTGTTGGACTATTTCTACAGGAACTGTTGTTATCAAATAAACTTTGTTCATATGCAGCATAGGTTCGTTGTTCTTTGTACTGAGCATGACAGGTATCACCGTACAGTAAGTACAGGAATGGAGGCTGTTTTAAGTATCAGTCTTCACCGTCTCATAGCATTAGACAAAACTACAATGCACCAGCAATATAGATGGCTATATGTTTTGTAAATAGGGTTGCAAAAGTTGCAGATTAGTCTATAATTAATAGCCTATTTCTATTAATTTGTCCAGCATCAACTGTAAACTATTTTTACCATTCCAGAATATTTCAACAGTTCAGCTAACGATTTATATATCTGTGCATGGCATTGCATTATTGTTTTTTTACATAACAATGCAACAATGCCACTTATTCTACATAACAATGCTACGTGTACCAACTGACATTTTAATGGGGCTTTTTATATTTATGTTTGTATATGATAAAGTTACCCCAAATTTCCAATTAATTCCCTTTAAGTCCTGTAAATTCCAAAATCTGGAATATCTCCAAATTTTCCCAGTTTAAATTACAACATATGATGTGTTATAACGATGTGGTTTTACTGTAAATTTAAACCGCCTGCAGATTTTCACTGTCACACTTATAAACACAACACTGATGTCTTCATTTCTTCACTGTCAATCAAAACTCAGTAGCCAATGAGAACTGACCACTGCTAGCCCTGCCCACAAGAGGGATTGTATTTTGGCTTCATGCACATTTAGTGCTTCCACTTTTAAGCTACATGGTTTTCTGTGTCATCATAAATAAACATGTAGTAAATTTGTAAAAAAAGAAATAAAAATCTTTTAAAGAACTATCCATCTTTTAACAAACTCTGTGACAGAAAAAGTTAGATGTGTAACTATTTACAGTTACAAAACTGGAAGATGGTTATGTTACAAAAACAACAACAACATAGGCGAATGGACTATTGGTTTAAATTTGCATTATATGAGAGTTATTAGAACTCTCAGGGGGCTGTGGGAATACAAATGATGTGGTTAAGTTGTCACCTCTGAGTCTGTGTATATGAGGCTCACCTTTAAGGACTGCCCACTGAATGCTTACAAAATACAATGCACTGTATGTTTCCCTTAAGGCAGGGGTGTCAAATTCCTGGAGGACCGGAGCCCTGCAGAGTTTTGTTCCAACACTGCTCCAACACACATACCACGTAGTATTCAAATAAGCCTGAATGACTTGATTAGCTGGGTCAGGTGTGTTTAATTAGGGTTAAAGCTAAACTCTGCAGCGCACACCAAGTAAGTTTACAACTTTGAATATCAGTTATGTTGATAACTTTCTTCATGTTAAGCGGCTCATGTTGTTATGAAAAAATTGGCGTATTGAAATGCTCGGGTAAGATTACGTAACATTAGAACAGCCTTCTGTCTGTGCCGTCTTGATTTACGTGCTCGTTTTCATTACTTTTGCTTTAATTCTCACGCACCGACTCATTTGCTGAACTGAACATCCAATCAGAGTTTAGTAATATTGCTACATTTTAAAGCAATAATATTATTTTCAGTTATGTTTCCACCATTTTTACATTTCCAGTTGGATTTTGGTTCAAACTCTTTTCTGAAACACATTAGGAACATGAACAGCATGTCTGGTGTTGAATTCGAGTTAGTTCTAATATGCTAGTCTGAAACAGGCCATTACTGTGCTCAAAGCTAACCTCATTAGCACTAGGAAACGGGCATCTGATGTCATGGCCACTAGTTTACATGCTAATACACACGTTATAGGATTAGTTCACTTCCAGAATAAAAATGTCCTGATCATTTACTCACCCCCATGTCATCCAAAATGTTCATGTCTATCTGTCTTCAGTCACAAAGAAATGAAGGTTTTTGAGGAAAACATTCCAGATTTTTCTCCATATAATGGACCTCAACGGGGACCAACGGGCTGAAGGTCCAAATCACAGTTTCAGTGCAGCTTCAAAGAGCTCTACACGATCCCAGCCGAGGAATGAGGGTCTTATCTAGTGAAACGATCAGTCATTTTCTTAAAAAAAGGTAAATGTATATACTTTTTAACCACAGATGCTCGTCTTGCAGTAGCTGGACTTCATGCGTTACGTAATCACGTTGGAAAGGTCACGCGTGATGTAGGCGGAAGCACCGACCCAGTGTTTACAGAGCAAACATGCAAAGAAAGTCAAACGCCCTTTACAAAAAAGGTCAAACACAATCGGATGATTGTGAAGTTGGAGGAGAAAATGAGATGGGAGTTTTTCACCCTACCCTTCCTTTCTGAACCGGAGTACACAGACGAAGAGCTGACTGCACATGACCTTTCCAACGTGACTACGTAATGAGTGAATTTGTGGACGAGCATCGCAGAGCTAGTGCAAAATGTGCATTTGTGGTTAAAAAGCATATATAGTTTTTTTTTGTTTTTTTTAGAAAATGACAGATGGTTTTGCTAGATAAGACTCTTATTCCTCGCAGGGGCGTGTCTACGTGGTGGCCAGGGGTGGCACCGGCCCTCTCTGAAGTTTGGCTGGCCAACCCAGGTGCCCCCCCACCAGATGTCTTGCGATAGGCTTGTTTTTAGTAAATTTCTAACTGCATCTGGCAGTGGCGGATCCTGGCATGTGTAGGCAGCTGCCTAGGGCCGCTTTCTTCTCTTCTTTATACTTAATTTTAGGCGGTTTCTATAGTGTGATCTTAATGACAATGTCGAGAGCGCATAATGTTACGCGATCCATGTGCGCGAGGACGAATCTCTCCACTCCCAAGCGGATTTCCTTCACTCACACAAAACTGGACGTGTGCTTTTAAATATTGTTCTTTTATGAACACTGTCTCTGTGTCTGTCACTCTTTGTTTAGTGAGTGTACACGATGTATTATAACATACATCATTCCGCAAACACCTCTTTTGAGCCAGTGCCCCCGACTGGCCCCCCCCATTTAAAATGCTCTAGACACGCCCCTGATTCCTCGGCTGGTATCGTGTGTCGAGCCCTTTGAAGCTGCACTGAAACAGTGATTTGGACCTTCAGCCCGTTGGTCCCCATTGAAGTCCATTATATGGAGACAAATCCTGGAATGTTTTCCTCAAAAACCTTCATTTCTTTGTGACTGAAGACAGAAAGACATGAACATCTTGGATGACATGGGGGAGAGTAAATGATCAAGAAATTTTTATTCTGGAAGTGAACTAATCCTTTAATCTGTGATGTAATGACGGTGTTTTGGTGAATTAATGGTCAGCTGTATAACGCTCACCTAAGACTTGAGCGTCACAGTCTATTTTGAAATGTTTATTCAAAGCAGTTACTAACGAAGCAAACGACTCCAATTGCAAAGTTTTGCTAGCCGTTTTTCACATCAAAATGTAGAAAATCAAGGATTCAAGCTCATGTGATTCATTTGGAAAGAAATCAATTTATAATGTGATGAATCTAAAATTCAGGTAATCGGTGATTTGGACCTTCAGCCCGTTGGTCCCCATTGAAGTCCATTATATGGAGACAAATCCTGGAATGTTTTCCTCAAAAACCTTCATTTCTTTGTGACTGAAGACAGAAAGACATGAACATCTTGGATGACATGGGGGAGAGTAAATGATCAAGAAATTTTTATTCTGGAAGTGAACTAATCCTTTAATCTGTGATGTAATGACGGTGTTTTGGTGAATTAATGGTCAGCTGTATAACGCTCATCTAAGACTTGAGCGTCACAGTCTATTTTGAAATGTTTATTCAAAGCAGTTACTAACGAAGCAAACGACTCCAATTGCAAAGTTTTGCTAGCAGTTTTTCACATCAAAATGTAGAAAAGCAAGGATTCAAGCTCATGTGATTCATTTGGAAAGAAATCAATTTATAATGTGATGAATCTAAAATTCAGGTAATCACTGGGGTTGCTTATAATTTATTGCCATCTGGTGACATTACCAATTCAGCATGTCTCACATTCAAGACATTTAAAGCTCCTGTGAGGAATTTAGCATCACCATGTCATTATAATGAAAAGTCAAAACAGGGACATTAACACCGCTCTGTTAAAATTGCAAAGGCTTTACAAATGAGCGTATGTTTATGATGTGACATTAGTTGAGTATATATCATAGCAATTGTTCATCACTTATTAAACGTGGTATAATATTAATTATCAAGTCAAGTCACTTTTATTTACGTATCGCTTTACAGAATACTGATTGCTTTAAAATAGCTTTACATCATGTCCTAATTAGATAGGATTGTGTTAAAATTCCAATGACAAGCAACACTTAGATCTTACACTCAGATCTACTGCCCAAATAGTTATGTCAACAAAAATGATTCATGTATCTTGTTATTATGTGTCATTATGTTTCATTTTAATGTGATCAGGCTTTTGAGGACAACAAACAGATGCCTTTTGCCTTCAAATAAAACATGAATCCAGAATAAGGTTTAACTTATTACTTATTTATTCAACAATCTTCCAATGCCAATCTTCCAATGTTCCTTTGTCAAGGTGAAATTCTTGGCTGGTGGCCCGTAATATAAAAAGGCATTATCTGACACACTCTGACACACTAAGTTGTTATTATTAATATTATTATTTATAAAGTCTAAAATCATTACACTTTTGAGGTTGTGAATGAACCCTCAGTCATACAGTCAGCCAATTCTCAAAATTAAAAGCCAAATTAAGTATTACTTGTAATGCGTTACCCCCAACACTGTATCCCAAGCATTCACAGAAAAAGGTGTTGAAAGGTTGAAAGGCTATTTTAGGAAGAGTCTGGTGATACGCATAGGTTTTCATTCCTCATATGCTGGAGAGGCCAAACACTACAGTAGTTACTGTCACTAGACTTAGGCTACGTCCACACGAAACCACAAAACCGACGATGTAGTATAACGACAAAAACGATGTAGTATACATTAGGGTTGTGACGGTGAGGAAATTTTCCCACCGGTTAATTGACGCGTGACAACACCGGTAATACCGGTATCACCGCGGGGGCGTTCCCTCTTTTCCTCGCTTTCCTTCACTTTTAAATAGCTTGTAAAAGTGGCGTGCGCATTTTACTTTCACTTTCAAATATGTTTTTGTTGCTGTTACGTGACGTAGCGGTGTCTGACTAGGGGCGAGGCGTGGGCTGATGATGTCATCGTTTCAGAAAATATACGGATTCGCTGTCCACACGAAAACGCAAGGGCGGCGTTTTCAGATTTATCCACTCTGGGACCCGGTTTAAAAAAATATCGGTTTCACTCTACCAAAACGCCGGATCCGTGTGGACGAAACGCCTATATGATACAAAATGTATGTGTATACAGCTAAACGCATCTTCGTGTGGACGGAGCCTTAAATTGCACGAGAAGACAAAGACTATCAAAAAAGCTCACAGTTCTCTGCAGTGCAACCGGTTACTGAGTACTTACCTAAAAATAACCATGGCGGTTTTACAGGGGGGACATGCAAGCAGGAAGATCTGCAAAAGAGAGAGTGATAAAGCTCAATAACAATGACTCTTTTGGACAAAGCAGATATTACATCTAGCAGCTAAACTAGTAATGCAAACGACTTGACATGAGCGCGAGTAAATCATGACAGAAATGTTACTAAATCAACAAGAGGATAGCAATTCCAAATAAATGCTGAAACAAAACTCTTAAAGGGGTGAGAAACAATAATGTACAGTATGTGGAAAATAATGTGTTTTTTTTACTTTAAACCGCATAAACACATTTCATTACACCAAATACACAAAATAATGTTCTTTTTAGCAGCATCATATGACCCCTTTAATATAGAACAGAACAACCATTGCTGCAAAGAGAAGACTACTCGTTCAAGCCGTTAGAGCTGCTGTAAATGAGGGTACTGTGTACCTTAGGTATTGGAGGTTTATGAATGGAATCTTTTGGCTAAGGGCCATGCCGTGCATATCTTATCAGAACAAGTTTATCACATTTTCAGTGGCTGAGTGTTAATCAAACTGGTGGATCTGGAGATAACGTGACACCATTTCGCACCAGCTCAGCGTTGCATGTAGAACTACCCAAAACAACTTTTGTAACAGTTTTATTATTGCAAAATTAATCCGTATACACCTATATATTCTCTGATCATTTTTATTTACCTTATTTATTCTCTGTAACGCAAAAACACCAGTTTAACAATACCATCAATGTAAACTGTTCAAATTACAGCTCTAAAAACTGAGCATTTGTAACTGAGCTGTTTAAACAATCTTGTGTTTTACAAAAAATATTTCAAATAAATGTTCATATTAAAATACATTTCAATGTTATGAGATAACAACTTGTTGGTTCTGATCCGAGTGAGAATGTTCCATGTGGTCTTTTCTCTCAGTAGTGAAAAAGGCAACTAAGGACGCCACAAGCCATATCTAATCTAGGGTTAATGAGATCACAAATGGACAATTTAGTATCAGTTGCGAGGGTAGCCAGGATATGAAGAGCAGTCTGGGAGCATGGCACAAAAAGGAAGGAAGTTGAAGCCTGTCAGCAGATATCATTATCCCAGGTGAGTCAAACTAGAGAACAACCTGACGTTGCATAACACATTCACTCTCTTGTGTAATATGCTCACTCCAAGGCAGAATGAACAATTAGGATAATACTGTTACAGCAGTTCAAATACAAAAACTATGTTTTTCCACTTGCAATTATATTTTTAAGTGCTTATTTAATTCAATAGCCAAGTTTCCATCCAGTTTTGTTATCGACAAAGAGAATATGCGTAAAAAAAAAAAAACTTTGCGAAATTTTTGCTTTTCTCCAGCCTGTTTCCATCCAATTGGCCTTTTACCGATAAAATGGTGTGCGTGATGAAGTCATCCCTAAAAATTCAATACAAATCTTTTGAAACATTTTAAATGTCTTCACTCACTTTTCATCACTTTAATGTAAGAAGAATGAAATTATTAATTTCTCTTTCTTTTTTAAATCACAAATGTTTGAGTGGTAGCATTGTTTCCACAAAAAATGTTAAGCACCAAAAGCTGTTTTTAATATTGATAATATTAAAGAGTAAATTGCATGATTCACGTGGGTCATGATTTTAGGCTAAAAAATACGGAATTCCGGTTTAATCCGGAAGAATCACATCCCTGCTAACCGTTCAACTGGTTTATTTGACCACTAATGTAACAACATAACACCGGAGACATCTGCTATGCATTTTTTTAAAAATGAAAAAAGTGAGAGTGAAGAAACACTGAAGTGAGTCATGTCTAGATTAGTGCGAGTAGGAAAATATTTCATTCAGTCTACCACAAAAAAAAAAAAAGAAAAAAGATGTCTATGCAA